AGCACAGCAGCCTGTGTCCACCTGCTGACCTGCAGGGGCCCATGAGCACAGCAGCCTGTGTCCACCTGCTGACCTGCAGGGGCCCATGAGCACAGGCACTCGTTTTGGAAGTTATGGCTTGTTGAGCTGCAGTTCTTGTCTAGTTGTTCTTTCTTTCCATTGTAGACACTGCTGAAGTCTTAGGAACGGCATTATTTAGGACTTTCCTTATCAGCCACTACTTAGGCTACAGTACGCCCTTTAGTGGAGGGTTTGCACACTGGAGGTAGAATTCTGTGCTCAGCGAAGTGAAAATCAGCAGGAGATACAATACATGCACCATTCATTGTAATACCAGGGAAAGGGAAAGGGCTGAGACCAGCCTGGAATCATGGAAGACTTCCTGGAAAAGGCGTCCCTTAAGCCTGATCTCAAGTCAAGATGAATAATGATTTCCTCAGCTGAGAAGGGAAGAAAGACTCACAGCTACAGTGGTTGGACAGTGTGATTCTTTTTCTTACCAGTCATAAGGGTCATGGCCAATGCTCCTTTAACAAAAGACAAATTAGGAGAAAACCATAACAAATTTATTTAATCTAAGTTTTATTTAACACAGCAGGCTTCAGAAATGACGACCAAAGACCCAGGGAAGACTGTCCGTTGTTATACTTAGGGTTGATAAAGAATGGGCAGCCATGTAGAGATAGGTGTATTAGTCTGTTTTGCATTGCTATAAAGGAGTTACCTGAGGCTGGGTAATTTGTAAAGAAAAGAGGTTTCATTGGCTCACAGTTCTGCAGGCTGTACAAGCATGGCCCCCGTGTCTGCACAACTTCTGATGAGGTCCCAGGAAGCTTTCACTCAAGGTTGAAGGTTGCAGGCAAAGGGGGAGTAGGCTGGAGAGAGGGCGTAACAGGCAGTGAGGGAATGTCCCAGACTCCTTAACAATCAGATCTCATGGGAACTCATTACTGCAGGGAGGGCGCCAGGCCATTCATGTGGGATCCACCCCCATGACCCAAACACCTACCACCAGGCCCCACCTCCAACACTGTGGATCACAGTTCACCGTGAGACTTAGAGGGAACAGACACCCAGACTCTTACCAATGTGGACAGAAGGGTACCATCTAACAGTAGTAGAGTAGTGGGGAAACCAGTAAGGCCTGTCTGTCCAGATTCTTCTTGTCCTCACTGGGCAGTGCTCTCAGGTGTAGGCAAGACACGTCTGGAACAAGAGTCTTATGATTTAACTATCAGCAAGGTAGGTCAGAGAACTTCTTAATGTCCAGATCCTAGAAGGGCAGGAAAAAGATAGAGTAGTATCTCCGGGCTTTATGGCTGGCTTTGGGCAAGAGGGGTTTGAGTTTTCTCTGTCCTGCCTTGGGGAAGAGGAGTTCTCATTCCAGGAGAACTTTGGTGGAGAAGGTGGTGGGGTGGGAGAAGGTGAGTGAGAGACCTTGCTTCTGAGGCGTCCTAGCCAGACTTAGAGAACATGTGCAGGACTCCTGCTCAAAGAAAGCCAGGCAGCCTGCTTTCCACATTGGCCACGTGGTGCTGTCCCTTCCTCTCTCCACAGATGTTTGTGCTCCTGCACCGTTCCCTTTTCCCTTAATATTTGGCCAGGTGCCGTGGCTCACGCCTGTAATCCCAGCACTTTGGGAGGCCAAGACGGGCAGATCATGAGCTCAGAAGATTGAGACCATCCTAGCTAACATGGTGAAACCCCATCTCTACTAAAAATACAAAAATTAGCCTAGCGCGGTGGCAGGTGCCTGTAGTCCCAGCCACACGGGAGGCTGAGGCAGGAGAATGGCGTGAACCCAGGAGGTGGAGCTTGCAGTGAGTGGAGATCGCGCCACTGCACTCCAGCCTGGGCGACAGAGATTCCGTCTCAAAAATATATATATATATATATATTCTACTGGCTATTTCCCAAGAACATAAGCACCTGTCAAATGAGGACATTCACCCCGATGTAATACTTTCACCCCATTTCTGTTGGTTGTCTCAAGTATGTCCTTTGTGGTGTTTTTCTGGTACCCAGCTGAGCCCAGGACCCAGGCAGTCTTCGATGCTCCTTGTGAGTAGGTTCAGGTTGGGCAGGTCCAGCCAGATGCCCCGTGTCCCCATCAGGATCCTGGCAGGAGGTGCGCACGACCATGTGCCCCAGTATCTTGGTGACATGTGATAGAATCCTTCTGATAAGGTGCTGGCTGGTTTCTCCAAGGTATCGGTAGTGTTTTTCCTTTTGTAATCACTAAGGAATCTGTGAGGAGACATTTCAAGACTATGTAAACATCTTCTTTTTTTTTTTTTTTGAGACGGAGTCTCGCTCTGTCGCCCAGGCTGGAGTGCAGTGGCCGGGTCTCAGCTCACTGCAAGCTCCACCTCCCAGGTTCACGCCATTCTCCTGCCTCAGCCTCCCGGGTAGCTGGGACTACAGGCGCCTGCCACCTCGCCTGGCTAGTTTTTTGTATTTTTTAGTAGAGACGGGGTTCCACCGTGTTAGCTAGGATGGTCTCGATCTCCTGACCTCGTGATCCGCCCACCTCGGCCTCCCAAAGTGCTGGGATTACAGGCTTGAGCCACCGCGCCCGGCTATGTAAACATCTTAATCCTCATCCAGCTGTCACCTGTGTGGTGATTCCTGCCTGAACTGATTTTTACCTTGGTGAATGGGGATTTTTTTTCCAGCTCTATCATTTCTCTGTATTTAGAAGTTGGCGTTCTAAGGAAGAGCCCTTCTTTCCACCCCCTATATTTACGTATTTATTTCTCTCTCTTTATATCATTATGAACTCATGGATTCTTAATTTTCGTACTTATTTTGATGCTTAAATTGTCCCATATGTGGTCCGTGGGCCACCCTTACGCTGGCTTCTTTGCTCTTTGACATGCCCACATCATTTGCTCTCCTCCAGACCCCGGCAACCACGCTCTGCTTCCTGTCTGTATGGATTTGCCTGCGTTCGATATTTCACAGAAATGGAATCACACAATATGTGAACTTTTGTGTCTGGCTTCTTCCACTTGGCATGCTGTTTTCAAAGTCCATCCGTGCTGTACCATACGTCAGCGCATTACTCCTTTTCTGGCTGAATAACATCACAGTGTATCGACAGGTCACATGTCGTTTCTCCGTTCACCAAATATTGGGCATTTGGGTTATTTCCACCTTTTGGCCGCTGTGAATCATGCTGCTGTGAACATGGGTGTACAAGTTTTAGTTTGAACACCTACGGTCACTTCTTTTGGGGTATGTACCTGGGAGTGGAACTGCTGGGCCATGCAGGAACTTGAAGTTTAAGTTACTGAGGAATTGCCGGACTATTTCCCACAGCGGTTGCAGCAGCTTTTATTCCAGTTAGCAATCACGAGAGCTTCGCACCTTCTCACCTACACTTGTGATCTGCCTCTTTCGTTGTCGCCATCCCTGTCCGTATGAGCTGGTCTCTTGCCGTGGTTTGCATTTCCCTGATGACTGTTGATGTTGAGCATCTTTTCATGTCCTGATTGACCATCTGTGTATTCTTCTTTGGAGAAATGTCTGTTCACGTGCTTTGCCTACTTTTTAACTGGGCTGTTTATCTCTTGTTATTAAGCTGTAAGAGCTCTTTATATTCCGGATGCTAGATCCTTATCAGATCTGTGATTTGTAAGTATTTTCTCCCATTCTGTGGGTTATCTTTTTACTTTCTTGATAGTGTGCTTTCTACAAAAGTTTTTAATTATGGTAAAATCACATTTATTTTCTCTTTTGTTACTTTTGGTGTCATAGCTGAGAAATTGTTGCCAAATCAAGATCACAAAAAATTGAGGAGGTGGGTACAGTGCCTCACACCTGTAATCCCAGCACTTTGGGAAGCCAAGGATCACTTGAGCCCAGGAGTTAGGAGCAGCCTAGACAACATGGTAAAACCCCATCTCTACAAAAAATAGACAAATTAGCCGCGTGTGGTGGTGCCCGCCTACAGACCTGGCCACTCAAGAGGTTTGAGGTGACAGGATTGCTTGAGCCTGGGAGGTTAAGGCTGCAGTGAGCTGTGATCGAGCCACTGCACTCCATCCTGGGCAGCAGAGTGAGACCCGAGACCCTGTCTCAAAAAAAGAAAATAAAATACCACTATGTATTCTCCCAAAAGTTTTATAGTTTTAGCTCATATGTTTCAGTCTTTGACCCATTTTGGGCCTGGAATGGTAGCTGGCACATAGTAGCCAAACGATAGCATTATGATTATAATGATCATCATTAATACTGATCCAGTCCTAGGAATGAATCCCAAGGAGATGATTTTTAGGGAAGATATGCATTAAGAGGTTTATCACAAACCATGGTACTTCTCAAGGCAAAAAGAAAAAGAAGAGGCTTATCACATTACTGAGTTTTATTTAGCTATGGTAATGCCTTAGTAGATGTATTTCCTGAAAGAGTGAAAGAGTTCCGTCCTTTAGAGATACACAGAAATACCTACAAATGAAATGGTAACCCCCGGGATTTGGTGGTGAAGATGGGGAATGGGTGCGTCAGGTGATGTGTACGTGTGGTTTCATCGAAAGGTGACTCTCGGGCTGAGTTTTGAAGCATGAACAGGAGATTGCCAAGCAGGTGTAGGTGAGGTTGGCAGGAATTTCTGACAGGGCACAGCTTAGACAGAAACACAGAGAAACTAAAAGGGCACGTGAAGTCTAGAGAGCAGCAGGCATTTATGCAGCACCTGTTGGTGCCATGCACAGTGCTGCAGTGGAGAGCCAGAGAGCCAGAGGCCCTGCCCCGTGAGCCTCTGTCCGGAGTCCACATTCACTCTGTGCTACAGAGGCTGGTAGAGCTAAGAGGGTGTCAGAGAAGGCTTCTCTGAGGAGGCGGTTCTGGAAATGAGTGGGTTTCATGAGGAAGATGGGATATGGGATCCAGCAGAAGAAACCACATGTGTGAAAGTCTGGGGGGATGAGAAGGTATGAAAGACGGTGGAATGATAGGCTGAACTGGGCCTGGGGGATGGGAGGGGCAGAGGCCAGGGCTGTGAGACCAGAGGTTAGAATTTCATGCTTTCTTTGTCCCACGGTCTTTGGAAGCCATCCAAAGACACGGAATGGTGAGCGTGTGGGAGAGGAGCGATGGGTTTGGATTTGTGTTCCTGCCCAAATCTCATATGGAATTGTAATCCCCACTGTTGGGCGAGGCCCTGGTGGGAAGCGACCAGATCATGGGGCAGATTTCCCCCTTGCTGTGCTCATGGTAGTGAGTGAGTTCTCATGAGATCTGGTTGTTTAAAAGTGTGTAGCACCTCCCCCTTCTCTCTCTCTTCCTGCTCCGGTCATGTGAAGATGTGCCTGCTTTTTTCTCTTGCCTTCTGCCATTATTAAAAGTTTCCTGAGGCCTCCCCAGCCAAGCTACTTGTACAGCCTGCAAAACTTTGAGCCAGTTAAACCTTCCTTCTTTATAAATTACCCAATGTCAGGTATTTCTTAATAGCGGTGAAAGAATGGACTCATACAAGGCGTGTAGGTGGATACCGAGTCCTGGAGCACTGGCATCTGCGGAGTGGATGAGAGTAGGGGGAGGCCACGCCCTGGGCTGTCCAGAGATGGTCTCCTGAGGCGGAAACTGATGAACCCTCCCGGGCGCAGCACAGACTCGTTGGAGAGCCCAGGTGCAGTGGACCCAGACAGGATCGAACTGAAGAGTGGAGGGTATGACGGACCAGGAAGGGCACGCAGAAGTCAGGGAAAGCACCGCGCACGGGAGAGTCACGCACAGCCTGCCCCTGAGAGGCATCCAGGAAACAGGAGCAGGATCCGGGCCGTGGGTAGGGCTGGTGCACTGAATGCTGGGAACTTGAAAATGCAACAACCACAATTGTTAAGGATCAGTAGAAAGTTTGGAAAATGTAAGAAATTCACTCAAGGCCAGGCAAAGTGTAATTCCAGCGCTTTGGGAGGCCGAGGCAGGGGGAACGCTTGGAACCAGGAGTTCAGGACCAGCCTGAGCAGCATAACTGTCTCTATTAAAAAAAAAAAAAAAAAAGAATCAACAGGCATGGTGTCATGTACCTGTAGCCTGTAGTCCCAGCTACTCAGGACACTGAGGCAAGTGGATCACTTGCACCTGGGACGTCCAGCCTGCAGTGAGCTCGGATCGCACCACAACCTGGCTGATAGAGCAAGCCTATGTTCCAAAAAACGAAAGAAATTCACCCAGAAGCTAATCATAAAAACAGCTGACTTGTGCCGTCCTTTCTGTGCAGGCCCTGATGGAGGTGTTTGCCATCAGCCCCTGCACAGTGCAGCACAAGGGGTGGTGGTGTCACCCTTCACAGATGAGGAAGCAGGAGCCCTGCATTGCAGGGAACACCAGCTGAGGCCAGGGCAGGGCATGGCCAGGCTGAGACACAGGATCTGGCCTCAGACACCTTTTTCTTGTCAGCTCCAGTCTTCACTCTGTGCCACTGGCCCCAGCAAGCCTGAGTGTGGGCAGAGACCACGGAATACAGCTGGCCTGTACCATGAAACACTAGTGCAAGCATTATCTCGTTGACACTGGGAAGCCCCAAAGTGCAAGGATTGAGGATATTTTTACTGATGATGGAATCCAGAAAGTGTCAGAATATAGAGCTGACCTTTTAATTCAGCTGTGAAAAGTTGTAAAGCTCTGCATTGAATGTGGGGCTATTGAGATGGATGGCGTGTGGCATGATTTTGTTGTTCTCCTATGCCTGACAGATGGTTAAACTTCAGGAAGTATTTAAGGCATTTTATCTTGGAAAGCACAGTGGTCGAAAACTTCAGTGGCAAACTACTTTGGGACATGCTGTTTTAAAAGCGGAGTTTAAAGAAGTAAGTTCTTTGTTTCGTTTATTTTTTATTGTTAATATGTTAATAGAATTTTTTTATTGTTATTAGACTTCGGTAGCAAAAAAGGAAAGAGTGTTGTTTCACTTTAATTCACTAGCTTTTATATGTCAATAAAATTAATAACAGTTAAAGGGTTAATATTCCAATCAATAAAAATTCTTAAGAAACCAATCCATAGAAAACCATTTACCTATTGAAAAAAAAAAGAGAGAATGTGAAGAGGCAACTCATAAAAGCAAAATTGAAAAAATATCCGTGAAGATGCATTACACTTCTCTATGAAACAAAGGGCTTCAAAGTAAAATACAGTAAGATACCACTTTTTGACTAAGAGATTTGATGAAGCCTAAAAAACAGAGATAACCAGATTCTTGCCCACTGCTGAAAGAAGCATAAACTGTAGTGAGCTTTTGGAAGGGCAGTTTGGCGTTATGAACTTTGGCAACACTGCCAAATTGTTGCCTTAGTTTCAACTCTAGGAACTCATCTTAATAATATATTTTCACGAATTAATGAATAAGAATAGTTGTTGCAGTGCTGGTTTTTTTTTTTTTTTTTTTGAGACGAAGTCTCGCTCTGTCGCCCAGGCTGGAGTGCGGTGGCGCGATCTTGGCTCACTGCAAGCTCCGCCTCCCGGGTTTATGCCATTCTCCTGCCTCAGCCTCCCGAGTAGCTGGGACTACAGGTGCCCGCCATCACGCCCAGCTAGTTTTTTGTATTTTTAGTAGAGACAGGGTTTCACTGTGTGAGCCGGGATGGGATGGTCTCGATCTCCTGACCTCATGATCCGCCCGCCTCGGCCTCCCAAAGTGCTGGGATTACAGGCGTGAGCCGCCGGGCCTGGCTGCAGTGCTGTTTTTATGAGTGGTTATTTAAGAGGGGAGATTGCATACAATGGACTGATCAATGAAAAGAGCTTATCATGAAACAGGGCAATTATATACACTAAGCAAAAACGTTAAAAAATTCCTATTTTTCATAGCTGTTATTAATAATAAACTTATCTGTACATTATGAAATAAGTTATACATACCAACTTTATATATATTATTGTAGAGAGTCATATACAGAAAACCATATATACTCTTCCTTAAGGTATTAGGAAAGTTAATTTCTGTTATCCCCAGTTTTTGCCTTACTCGCTGACTTCAGTTGCACATGAGCTCCGCAGGGTCTGTACCAGCAGCGCCAACTGCGGCTCTCTCCAGGTGTGCAGGAAGGGGCTTGTTGCGGGCTCGCGATGAGTCAGGGCTGAGTCCTCAGAGGGAGCCCCCGACTGCCACCCGACCTCTCACGTGCCCCTCGCGGGTCTGACCCAGAGGCATGTGGCAAGTTGCTGCAGCAGGAACTGCTGAATAGAAAAGGAGATCATTGGCCGGGCGCGGTGGCTCAAGCCTGTAATCCCAGCACTTTGGGAGGCCGAGACGGGCGGATCACGAGGTCAGGAGATTGAGACCATCCTGGCTAACACTGTGAAACCCCGTCTCTCCTAAAAATACAAAAAATTAGCCGGGCGTGGTGGTGGGCACCTGTAATCCCAGCTACACAGGAGGCTGAGGCAGGAGAATGGCGTGAATCTGGGAGGCGGGGCTTGCAGTGAGTCGAGATTGCACCACTGCACTCCAGCCTGGGCGACAGAGCGAGACTCTGTCTCAAAAAAAAAAAAAAATCTAATTTTTCTAAGATTGTACACGCACAGCTTCACAGGTGTGATGAGGCCTTCTCTTCCAGGGGAAGAAGGAATTCCAGGTGTCCCTCTTCCAGACACTGGTGCTCCTCATGTTCAACGAGGGAGATGGCTTCAGCTTTGAGGAGATAAAAATGGCCACGGGGATAGGTATGAAAACCGCAGAGTGCATGGCTCCATGAGTGGTTCTTAAAGCATGTGTTTGTTTTAAGATAAGACATAGACTTGGTAGCATGATTTGTTTACTGTTGTTGAGTCTCATTCATGTAAAGCCAACCTCTGCGTTTGCTTCCCCTTCAGAGGATAGTGAGTTGCGCAGAACGCTGCAGTCCCTGGCCTGTGGCAAAGCGCGTGTGCTGATTAAAAGTCCCAAAGGAAAGGAAGTGGAAGACGGAGACAAGTTCATTTTTAATGGAGAGTTCAAGCACAAGTTGTTTAGAATAAAAATCAATCAAATTCAGATGAAGGAAACTGTACGTATAAACTTTCTCTTTTTACTTATAGGGTGTTTAGCAAGGAGTCATTTGTTTTTGTAGTAATGTTTTTGACTGTTGTTAGAGGCCTGAAGCACATTTCTAAGATAATCTAATTGGGCTATATAATGTTTATAAGAGTACTCATTTTCACGTCGCGTTCATTAACTTTACATTCTCAGTAGGAAAGAAAATCAGATAAAAAGCCACTTAATGTTATTCCTATTCACAGACAAATTGTGTGCTAAGCCGGAACTTCCCATGGTCATAGGGTTTCGAAAATTATCCACACTTTCTATGGTAATAGAATCTGATATGGTTCACTCGTGGTGGTGTGCGTTCTGTGGGTCTGGATAAATGTATAATGTTATGTATCCAGCATTATAGGATCATACAGGAGTTTCATTGCCCTAAAAACTCTCTTACGTTCTGTCACTGTATCCCTGTCTCCCTCTGAGCCCCTGGCAACCCCTGACCCTGTCACCGTCACCATAGTTTTGCCCTTTCCTAAGTGCCATACAGTTGGAGTCATAGTGTGTAGCCTTTTCAGATTGGCTTCTTTTATTTAGCAGAATGCATTTAAGGTTCACCATGTCTTTTCATGGCTGGGTAACTCTGCTTTTGGCACTGAAGGATTCTCCATTGTCTGGATGCATCACAACTTATCCCTTCACCTACTGAAGGACATCTGGTTGCCTCCAACTTTTGGTGATGATGACTAAAGCTGCTATAAACATTTCTGTGCAGGTTTTAACTCCTTTGAGGGTGCAACTTTTATAGTGGGCAAAAGTGAGAAGGTCTCTCAGTTCCTTCTCCTCAAGATAACCACTATTGCCCTTTTTGTTTGTGGTCACAGCCTTTTTCTGTGGTGTAAGTATATGTAAACTTTTTTTTAAATGGGATCACTACGCAAGGCACAGTGGCATGCAGCCATAGTCTCAGCTACTCCAGAGTGTCGCTTGAGCCTGGGAGTTTGAGGCCAGCCTGAGCAATGCAGTGAGACCCCCAACTCTAGAAAAGAAAAAACACCTAGGGTCACTGTATATATGGTGCCTGTCAGGGCCTTGTGTAGCCAGTTTTCGTGCTGATCACAGTCTTCTCCTGGCCAGGACTTGTTGCAGGAGCAGAGTGCCGGTTGTGTAGACCCACCAGGGCTGGCAGTGCCCTCGGCCACAGGCTCTAACATTCCTCCACCGCCCCTCCTGAAAATAAGATTACGTTCAACACCCTGGCACAGACATTTCTGTGCACTTGTTAGATGGTTTCTTTAGTGTGATCGTTGCTCTGGAGCTGCTGGGTAAAATAATGTGTCCTTTTCTTAGTTTGACTGCTCTTTTCCAAGTTGAAGTCTGGCAGATTTCACCCGAGTAGTGTCTGCCCCCACCTCCACCTGTCCTCCCTGTTCCCAGCAGCCCAGAGATCGTTTGTTGCCGTTTTCATTTTGATTTCTGATTTCTTTCAGCATCTTTCTACCACTCTGTAGTTTATACAAATTATATAATCTTTCTAATGCTCCATTTCTCATATTTAAAATAGACATACTACTACCTCAAGTTGTGAGAATTAAATGAATTGTTTGCCACACAGCTGTAAGCACTTCATAAATGTTGATGCCGATTTTTATGCTTAGCCATTTGTATTTTTCTTTTTTTAATTGCTCTTCAAGTCATGTACATTTGTTATAGTGTTCTTTCTCTTACGGATTAGGTGGTTTTCTTTATATATTAAGGATATTAATGCTTTGTTCCTTTTTTTTTTTTTTTTTTTTTTGGAGTTTCACTCTGTCGTCCAGGCTGGAGTGCACTGGTACAATCTCGGCTCACTGCAACCTCCGTCTCCCAGGTTCAAGCAATTCTCCTGTCTCAGCCTCTCGAGTAGCTGGGACTGTAGGCACGTGCCACCACACTCAGCTAAGTTTCGTATTTTTAGTAGAGATGGGGTTTTACCGTGTTGGCCAGGCTGGTCTCGAACTCCTGACCTCAGGTGAGTCACCCATGGCCCCCCAAGGTGCTGAGATTACAGGCATGAGCCACCATGGCCAGCCTGCATTGTCATTTTTGACAGATAATTTTGTTGTTCTTAGTGGGGGTTTTTTCACATAACAGTTTTTAAGTTCTCAAATATAGTCTCCTTTTCTTTTATGGTTTCTGACTTAACGTGTAATGCTGTATTAGGCCATTCTTGTATTGCTATAAGGAAATACCTGAAACTGGGTAATTTATAAAGAAGAGAAGTTTAATTGGCTCAGGGTTCGGCAGGCTGTGGGAAGCATGGCACCAGCATCACCTCAGCTTCTAATGAGGCCTCAGGAAGTTTCTAATCATGGCGGAAGGTGCAAGGGGAGCAGGTGTCTCACATGGCAAAAGCATGAGCAAGAACAGGGAGGGAGGTGCCCAACATGTTTAAATAACCAGATCTCACTACCGAGGAGGGCGGCCCAAGCCATTCGTGGGACCTGCCCCCATGTCCCAGTCACCTCCCACCAGGCCCCATCTCTAACACTGGAGACCACATTTCATCATGAGATTTAGAGGGGACACATATTCAAAACCATATCACAGACCTAAGAGAGAAATTCCCTTAACCAGATTTTTAAAAAACATTTCTACTATGTTATTTTTCTAGAAGTTTTTACATTTAAATCTTTATTTTCATGTTGCAGAAATTATTTTAGTATCTGAAAACAGTTTAATTACCCCCATCCTTTCCAAAACCAAATTTGAAATATCATCCTTGCACATTATTTGAATTATCACCTTATTATGTATCAAATTCATATAGGTCAGTTTCTCAATTCTCTTCTATAAATTCTGTATCTATTTCATAGCCAGCCATTTGTTTTGTTTTGTTTTTTGAGACAGTGTCGCCCAGGCTGGTGTGCAGTGGTGTGATCATAGCTCATTGCAGCCTCAACCTCTTGGGCTCAAGCGATCCTTCCACCTCAGCCTCAGGCATGTGCCACCGCGCCCAGCTAATTTTTTGTATTTTTTGTAGAGATGAGGCCTTGCCATCTTACCCAGGCTGGTCTTGAACTCCTGGGCTCAAGCAATCCTCCTACATTGACCCCCCAAATTGCTGGGATTACAGCCGTGAGCCACCACGCCTGGCACCAGGTTCTTTTAATTAATGTAGCTGTTCCTATAACTTTATTCTTCCAGTGAACTTCACAATAATTATATCATGCCTTTACTCCGCCAAATAAGAACATTGACATTTTTAATCCATATTGCATTAAACTGATTTGCAGAGGTTTTATCTTTGTCATATTAAATCTTCTGATTCATACAGACGTGTATATATATAGATATATACAGATGTTTTCTCTTTCTCAGAACTTCCTAGTTTTCTTCTGTAAGTCTTGCATATTTCTTGCTAGTCATAAATTTTCGTTCATTCAACAAATAACTTATTGATCATCTGTGGTGGCCCAGGTCCTCTGAAGCACTGAGAATTCATCCATTAACAATAAAGAATAAGTCTGTTTCTAGGAGTGTTCTGTCTTTTCCAGCAGAGAGGTAGCAGAGGATCACAGACATTGACTAACTTGTGTCAATGGGTGGAGGAAAATGTTAGGATAGAGAAGTGCAGGAGAGTCCAATTAAATACTGTCGTCAGCGAACGCTTTCCTGAATAAGTGACTAGCTTTGCTCAGGAACTGAAAGAAGGCCTCTGGCTGCAGCGTCATTGCCAAAAGGGGAAGCTGAGCCACACAGGCCTGATCAGGCAGCCACAGCCGGACCCTCTGAAGATGGCTCAGACCCGTGAAGCATTTGGAAAACCACTAGAGTTTTAAGCAAGACAGTCTAATGAAATGCTGATACCTTATAAAGGGGACCTTTTTTCTTTACATTTCTGATGGTTTTTATCAGAATGTGTGTATTAATGCTATTTGTCTTTGTATATTTATTTTATTTCCAGCCACTTTACAAAACTCTTTAGCTTTGAAAGTTTTTCTCTTGATTTTCTTGGATTTTCCAGCTCAGCTACAAATAATAATCGTTTTGTCTGCACCTTTTCGATATACCTCTTTAGTCTGTTCTTGTATTGCATAGTTAGAACCTCTAATGTTTGTAAGGAATAGCAGTACTGCTAAGCTTCCTAATTTTATCTCTAGTTCAGCGGGTATTAACTTTTTGGGGTTCGTGGATCCTGTTGAAAATGTGGTGAAAGCTTGGAGTCTCTCCCATCCTGAAGCATACTTGCCTCATATATATGCATGGACCTTCCGCCAACCCTCATTTCAACTGCAGATCCCCATCAGGTTCCTATTTGACGAAGATTAAGTTGTCTCTAGTATTTGCTGTTTGTTTCTGATAACCATGTTTTATCATGTTCAGATTCTTTCCTTTTTTATTCATCCTTGTATGCTGATATTTGTTTTAAATCAAAAAATCAATTTTCAGTTTTATCATGCCTTTTCAGCATCTATCTAGATGGTCATATAATCTAACCTTTCAGCTGTTACAATGCTCTCACTTATATTCACAGATTTCCTAATGTTGATCAACACATTTCTGGAGTATATCCTGGTGGTCATTATGCTTTGTTTTGTTTACTGTGCTGCTAGTTTTAATCTACATCATACATAGAGTTGTTACAGCTTTCTTATAAGGAAAATAACTTTTAAAAATATTTTTCAAGTTTTGGTTTTGGAGTTTTGCTATTCTGGGAATGTACATTCTACTAGAACAAATAAACATGCTTAATAAAGTAGGATTCATCCAATGTCTGACCTTTCTTTGCATCAGAAAAACATTTCTCATCAAATTTGGTAACATCAAATCATTAATATTGAAATATAGACCAGGCGTGGTGGCTCATGCCTGTAATCCCAACACTTTGGGAGGCCAAGGTGGGCGGATCACCTGAGGTCAGGAGTTCAAAACCAGCCTGGCCAACATAGTGAAACCCTGCCTCTACAAAAATACAAAAAGTAGCCAGGCATGACAGTGGGTACCTGTAATCCCAGCTACTCGGGAGGCTGAGGCGAGAGAATCGCTTGATCCCAGGAGGCGGAGGTTGCAGTGAGCCGAGATCATGCCATTGCACTCTAGCTCAGACGACTTAGTGAGACTCCGTCTCAAAAAAAAAAATAAAAAGAAAATATATCTTTACACTTAACTTTTTTTGTTGTTTTTTGTACAGGTTGAGGAACAAGTTAGCACCACTGAGAGAGTGTTTCAGGATAGACAATACCAGATTGATGCTGCTATCGTCAGAATAATGAAGATGAGAAAGACTCTTGGTCATAATCTTCTAGTTTCTGAATTATATAATCAGCTGAAATTTCCAGTAAAGGTAAATGTAACATTAGCATAATTAAATTTGTAGTATTTGCTAAACAAGTGACAAAGCATGTTTAATTCTATGTTCAGTCATATCATTTGAGCTGCATTATTCATGATCATTTGTGTATACACTGAATGTAAAAAACTGGCAAATGTGAAGCTCTTTATTCCAGGTGTTGTTCATCACTGCTGTAGAAATGATAGAGCCCTGAAACTGTCCTTCCCAGGGATGGCGCGTGCTTCTTCATATTTTCAGGAAGGGAAGAGGTAGATGGGACATGGAAAGCCGAACACTTTTCTCATAGTAGTAGCTGTCAGGGTTACGTCACAATATTTTAGGGAAATGATAACAATAACTAATTTATTCAGCGTTTACAGGCTATACCGCGTTTTCCACCACGGTAATAATAGTCCACTGTTGCTGTTGCTTATGAAAGTCAGCCCAGACCTGTCAACCCACGTTGTGTTTTCAGAACTGAGATTTACTGTCCTACTACGTGTGAGATGCAGGATAAGCCAGGAAAGTATTATGAAATGTTTTTTACACGTATTTATCAACCCAGGAAATACTGAACTCTGTTGACGCCTGGCCTCTCAGGAACTGGACCAGCCACACCTGCTTTGGAGGGAAAGTCCCCAGATTCCATGTTGTGCAGTTTGAGCCTCCCATTCTATCAAGGGAATAAAGTTGAGATGCACTAAATAGTCGAACACTTAAGAGTCTGGTGGAAGTGCCACTGTCCATCAGCCCGCATTTGCCCCCTTCCCTGCAGAGGTGAGGTGCCATCCTCAGGGCCCTGCACAGCTCCAGAGCACCGTCAGGGAAACTGCCCCTTCCTCCCACCACTGCAAACAACCAGGCTCAGTGCAAAGCGGAAGGCGAGCAAGGGTGGAGTGTGGCCAACCAGGGCGCCCGCTCTGCTGTCATCGTTAGTTGGGTTTTCAGCCACATCTTTTTTTTTTGAGACGGAGTCTTGCTGTCCCCCAGGATGGAGTGCAGTGGTGTGATCTCGGCTCACTGTAACCTCCGCCTCCCAGGTTCAAGCAATTCTCCTGCCTCAGCCTCCTGAGTAGCTGGGATTACAGGCACCCGCCACCACACCCAGCTGAATTTGTATTTGTAGTAGAGAGAGGGTTTCCCCATGTGGTCAGGCTGGTCTCAAACTCCTGACCTCGTGATCCGCCTGCCTCGGCTTCCCAAAGTGCTGGGATTACAGGCGTGAGCCACTACGCCAGCCTCAGCCACATCTTGTAAAATGTGTGGCTTATGGCTGCATAGAAGGTTAAGTTTGTTTGGAAAATAGAGGGTCTCCCTTGTATAGGGAGAGCCTTGCACATAAGTGTTCACACAGATTTGCTTCCTAATATAACAGAGCTGGAGTGGCTGTTCCCTCTGGGCAGAGACGAGCTATGGCTGTGGATTCGTCTACTCAGTCACCTACTTTTAGTGCAGGAACACTTGGGATTGTAGTTTCACTTACATAGACATGGCATGGCAATAACAATATAAATACATAAGAGTGAAAATACAGGCTGGGTACACTGCCTCACGTCAGTGACCCCAGCACTTTGGCAGCTGAGGCAGGCGGATTGATTGAGCCCAGGAATTTGAGACCAGCCTGGACAACATAGTAAGACCCCTTCTGTACAAAAAATAAAGTTAGCCAGGCCTGGTGGTGTGCAGCCCGTGGTGCCAGCTACTGGGGAGGCTGAAGCACGAAGATTGCTTGAGTCCAGGAGGTGGAGGCTGCAGTGAGCTGAGATCACACCACTGCACTCCAGCCTGGGCAGCAAAATGAGACCCCATCTCAAAATAAATAAAATAAAATACAGTACTTAGGCAGAAGCATCCTTACAAAGGATAAAAGTGTCCCAAGAAGACATGATGAGATTTTCCTTTCTAAAAACAAAAATGTGTTGTGATCAGGTCTGCCTTGCTTATGTGCTCTTACTGATGACAGATGATGTATGTACATTTCACAAATTTCACATTTCCCTCAGGAAGCCACGCTCTGACCATAAACTCACATAGACACTTTTTTGTAATCAAGAGATAACATTAACTTTGTCTTTGAAATAGAAAGTTTTATTCGTTTTATAAATATGTGTATAATTATAAATGATTTTCATATAAATATCTATTTGTATATATATATTTCTGTAATTATAGTTATATACTTCATGCATATACCCCTTGTTTGTAAACATCTGTAAATTTAATGCCACTATAATTAGGGGCGTTTCATTTTTCTTTTTTAGCCTGGAGATTTGAAAAAGAGAATTGAATCTCTGATAGACAGAGACTATATGGAGAGAGACAAAGACAATCCGAATCAGTACCACTACGTGGCCTGACGCATCTGCAGACGGTTCCCCTTCAGGAAACACTAGAATGTACCCTCAGAGCAGGAAGCACACCTGTGCCATTTCTGGGACTCTGATTGATCCAGCTGTGGACATTGGAAGGCGAAGGAAGGGAGGTGGCTCCTGGGTCATCCTTCACAAGGCTCAAGACTTCAACCGGCAGATGTATCTTTTTCCCTCCAGTTTTTCCTCTAGTTCTTTTAGGCATTTAAATTGTTTCTGTTACTCTGTGCAAAATAACTTTGAGATTGGACAAGAAGATATTGCTAAAGAGAAGTTCCTTTAAAAGGTCTTGTTCTTGTGTCAAAAAGCTGAAAGTTTGGTTTGTTCTTGTGTGTGATCATGAATGCACAATGAAGAAGACCCTAGATGCTGCATTTTTTAGCTCTGAAGATTCCTTAGGTATCCCTGAAGACAGCTCGCTCAGATGACCAGCATTTAGAGTGAAATAAGGGCCCTTCGTGGGTGAGCATGAGAAAGAGCCAGGGTTCAAAGCTGGCGAATGGATGGTGCATCCTAGCCACTGGCCTCTCTGTGTTTCCTGTATTTCCAAAAGTGATAAATTTGATGGCTGATTTTTTGTAAGTCAGGTTTCTCAGTGAGCTCCCTGACGTGCCAAGGCCATGGTGTCCGCCCTGCTGCGTCTGTTCGTTTCAGCTGAGTTGCTTGTGAATCTCTGTTTTAGGGTTTGGGGCTAGCGTGTTTGTGTTTCCATTCTAAGATTGAGTCTGGCAGTCCCTGTTTTTTTGCATTGGGGTAACTGCTCTTTGATTTTTTTTAATTGCAGTATTTGTATGATTGCAATAATAAAGTTTGGTTTGGTTTTTACAGTCACGCGCAGGGATGATCCTTGTTCTCTGCTGTAAACTGTAAAAAGTTTATGGAGACTTAAAAGTCTTGATGTTGTGAAGCAGAGGTTATTTTGTGGAAAGATTAAAAGGATTTTGTTGGTACCTGGTTTTGTGTTGTGTATATATACATGAGGTTGAACAGTGAAAGGAAAGTTCAGTGGTGATGTTAGAAGGGTAACTATGACAAAGATACTTTTGAGATAACATTTAAAAGTACTTTATATTTTACATAATAGCATGTTTCATTTTGATTAAAAGCTACCAAAGGAATTTTGATCATGGCCTAAGTGTTTAAAGCAATATTTTCTGGAATATACCGAGTTTATATAATTTGATTTTGTGCTAAATTATTAAAAGAGTCTCTTTTTGAAACATGCGGGTGGGTTTCCATATTAAAATCCTCACTCTTTAATAGTCATTTCTATCTTTGAGAATTTTCATTTATGAGTTCCATGATATGTGGTCTAAGAAAGACCAAATAGATTTCTATTTTTATTTCTTATATTTTAAGTTCGTTGTGTCTAGAGATTGTTAATATTGTAATTTAATGTAGACTTACTTTGAATAAAATTAGTTTAATTGGCCTTAAAATTACATTAATAAAACTTTGTGATATGCAAACGACACATTCTTCATAACTCTTTAGCAGCTTTGACTACTAGTGCACTAGGCAGAAGTCGGAGCAGGGAGCACCTGTCCCCTCTCAAGTGATGATTCTTTGCTGGCCACCTCTACCACAAAATACCAGTGAGGCCAGGTAGTGACAAATGGGTCTTTTTTACCTGGATGATTCGTTGTGCTGTGCCTTTAATTTGTTGCATTTGGGCACAGTGGCTCATACCTGTGATCCCAACTAGGAGGGCAGGATGGGAGAATCGTTTGAGCCCGAGTTCTAGACCATCCTGGGCACCATAAGGAGATCCTGTTTCCATTTTAGTTTATGTGTTTTTTTTGTTTGTTTTGTTTTTTTTTGAGACGGAGTCTCGCTGTGTCGCCCAGGCTGGAGTGCAGTGGCCGGATCTCAGCTCACTGCAAGCTCCGCCTCCCGGGT